TTGAAGAATGATAAATGTAGTCGTAGCTTAAATTATCAGAAGATAAGTTTAAAAAACAGGATCCATTTATTATTGGTCAGGAGAAATAGCAGTTACAAAATCAGATATCCGGAGTAAATAAAAAAGAACTACTAATAACATTTTGTATGAAGTTTACTGCATCGTGACATTTAAGAAAAAGCCCCGATATTCCTTTGCGAGTCCTTTTATAGCTTCTGAAAAGGCGGAGCTTCAAAGAAATGACGTCAGCGTCGTCAGCCAATCCAGTTCGCTTTAAATATTTCCAGAACATTCTATAACTGTACGTGTAGAAAAGGCGGGAAAAGCAACTTGACTACGGGGCTGTGGATTTAATTCCACGTACTTTCAAATAAGAGAACGTCGCCATTAAAAATGAAAAGAACATACATACAGTTAGAATTTTAAGTGTATTCTTGACTCTGGAATTTTATTATTACAAATATATATAATATAAGAATATTATATTCTTACAAAACAATTCTTTTTGTAAACCAAATCTAAATATGCCTAGTATTTTCGTGCATTAAGCTGTAGAAAAAATTATCATTAAAGACAAAAAGTAAGAAATTTATAACTAATGTTTCACAAAGACCAAATATTGAAATTCATAATTAATAAATTTCAAATAGATGCAACAAAGAATTAAAAAATTCAAAACACTTTAAGTAAGGAAAACCCATTTAAAAAAATTAATGAAAATTTAAATAAAAATGAGCAAAAACAGAAGAGGAATTCAATCAACTTCAATCTTACTTCATCGGGGGAGAGGGAGGAACATTGAAATCTCTCTTCTACAACAATCCATGTTTTTCTGTATCCATATTTAGCCGATGAACTATTTCAATGTATTTTTATTATAATAGTTCATCCGAAACTTCTGGCCGTTTCCCCTAAGCCGTTTCCCCTTTTTTTCCCTAAGGAAAAAAAAAAAAAAAAGAATTAGGATAATTAGAAAAATCTTAAAAAAAAGACGGGAATTCTGTTTTATAAAAACAGAATTAAATTTTATTAAAACCGAAACCGAAAGTGAAAAAAACAAAATATTTCAAAGAGGAATTTAGGTTGCTTAAAGTGTTTTGGATTTATTTTTTTTTTAATTCTTTGTTACAATTATTTGAAATTTACTATTTATGAATTTCAATATTTAATCTTAGATATTGAAATATTTAATTTCAATATCTAATCTAATAATTAGAAATATTAATTCTAAATTTCTTACTTTATATATATATATAACGTCATTCTATGAAACTATTGAATATTTTTAATTAGACGGATCAGGAATCAAACACATTTTTCTTATTTAAATCAATGCGATTCAAAAATAAGAAATATTCTTAAAAACTGCATCTGTTGCTTTCAAGCAGCTTAGTTTGTTAATCTACAACAGACAGATTCAGTTTGAAAGATAAATATTTTATATTTTACCGTATGGCAACAGACTCGAATGAAAATTGAAACAATGCATTTATAGTCATCGGACGCATAATACCATTTCGAGAATAACAGTTCCTTTTAGACTAATAATAGGAGAAAATGGAGCTACAATTCTAACGCCATGTATCAAATAAAATATAAAATTAATAGTGAAAAATGATTACAGGGGGGATTTAAAAATTTTTGAAAGACAATGGTAATTAATTGATGTCATTAACTATAAAAAAAATTTATTTTCGTAAATACAGAATGTTTTATAAAAATCTAATTAATCAAGCTGTCTTTTGAATAAATTCTTAGGGAAATCCCTATGATTATGAAAGATTTATTTATTTCTCTTTTAATTTATTAGAGATTTTTGTTCCTCATAATTAAGTTTAACCTTTCGTCTTTTTCCACTTAGAGCTTTAACTATTAAATCAGAAACAAACATTTCATATTCATTAACTTTTAATGCATTATAAATGAAAAACCCAAGATTATTCTGAAAATATTTTAAATTTTTAAGCACTTTTCCCTTATTTTGTCTAATAAAATTCTTCTGCTTTATCAAGAAAATGGAAACTAGTTAATTTTATTTCTTTATTCTGGAATTCAGTTCCTGTAATTCACAGAGGAAAACACAGTTAAAATTAATATCAAATTTCTATTCCTTATTTAAAATGCATAATACAAAATGATTAGCAAAATTCCAATGTTCAGTTACTAATTTAAAACAAAAAGTATTGTTTACGTAAAATGCATTGAATTTAAATTAAAACAAGAACAAAACGCAATAACAAAAAGAACAGTTATTACAATTAATGATTCTTTTGCTCTGAAAATGTAATTTAAATATTTATAAACTAATATTTATAAACTAAATATTTAAAACTAAATTTCATGTGAAAATACGTATAGCATCAGAAGCAAAAAAGAAAAAAATCTTCTGTTCTGAAAGATATTATGAATATTTAACAGGTGTTTTTCCACTTTCAGGGCTTAATTTATATATTTCATTATTAACTTAATCACCGCATTTTATATAAACAATATTCTGTAAAACTTTTTCTAGAATAATTAAAAGTTCTTAAATATTAAAAAGGGATATTTCAAAAAATTTTCCAAGAAGTTAATGTTTAAGTAAGATATTTTAAATAACTTAGAAGCCCTAAACTCTAGAAGACCTGCAAATAAACTTTAGAAGAACCTTAATGTTTAACTAAGATATTTTAAATAACTTAAAAGACCTTAACTTTAGAAGACCTGCTAATTTATTTGTATAAAATTGTTTTTGAACGAAAAATGAGCATTTAATTTATATACTTTGCATAATAGTGTACTCCAATGAAGTTTTATTGCATTAGCGGCCGAGCGGTAAAATCGCTGAACTCTGGCAGTTCGGTCTAGCGTTCGAATCCCAACGAACGGGATAACTATATGAGCGTTTTTGTGGTTTTTTTCCTTGTGCAATTTGTATATGAGCTAATTTGTCATAGAAAATCCTCCACGAAGGCATTCCTCCTCTTACACAGATGGCCCAACGGCGGTCGAGCGGTAAAGTCGCTGAACACTGATAGTTCGGTTCGATGTTCGAATCCCGCGAACGGACTGATTGCATGGGTGCTTTCGTGGTTTTTCCCATGTGTAAAGTTTACACGAGCCAGTTTCCCTTAGAATGTCCTCCACGAAGGCATCCCTCCCCTTAGGCAGATAACCATCGAGGCTTTGTCGTAATTAAGTAACCTAACCTAACCTAACCTCTTACGCAGATCGCCCTCGTGTGCTTTGCCGCAATCAAATACGCCAAACCAACTACAGAAAAATCAATTAACATTTTTGTTTCGTTTTTTTTTTTTTTTTTTTTTTTTTTTTTTTTTTTTTCCCAGATGCGATTGCTAATATAGAAACGTGTTTCTTAATTATTATTATTACTTTTTTTTTTTTTGAAAAAAGGATCTTTTACATCCCGTGCTGTTATTTTTCCAGTTTATGCCTTCCTCTTCTGCTTCTTCCCAAAAGCAAAATTTACGGTATTTAAAAAAAAAAAAAAAAAACAGGTGTTTTATATTGAATGGTTCAAAAAAATGCAAATTCTGTAATTGATTTATTAGCCAAAATAAATTAATTCTAAAACTAATATTATATAAGCTTTATATAGCAAAAGCAACAAATCCTCTGGTTACGAAATCGCCGCTAGAGGCACTGTTAATGAAAACAACGTTATTCATGCAAGAGAAACCGCAACGTACTTTGGAATACGCCAAAACATCTTCGTTTATAGTTTTACAGAGACATTTTCGAACTACTGCATCGTCATAACATCGAACTGCTGGAGAAGCAGTCTCAGAACACAGACTGCTTGCGTAGCAAAGTTAGCCGAGGACGAACAGCAGACAAAGCCAAACTGGCTCAAAACACTAGTGAATATTTTTACAAACTTTTACAAAATCAACGTGTCCGGCGAGTTCTTGACTCAATGTGGCTCATATAACTGTGGCGTGTATTACCAAAACGTCTACAATTCCAGCCCTATATCTTTCAGATGGTACAGGCGTTAAAATATTCCAAGAAATCGATGTAAAGCTCTGAGTGAGAAACTGCAAGATAAACTAGTGGTAGATGGTTTCTCGAACAGACTTGTGTCTACGTATGAAGCCACTTATCACATTTCTCGCAAAGTTAATCGTCATAATTTAAGATTTGGGGACACGGAATAACTACATGGTGTAATGGAACATGAGCGTGACTCTCCCAAAGGGAATGTTTTCTGCGCGATTTCCATTTTTGGTCTTTTTTTCCTTCGCGTAAAAATCGATTAACGGGTGCATTTACCAAGACATGCTATGGTTGTTCCCTCAGTTGGAGGAAGCATTCCCTGTTTCATTCTGTCCACCACATTGGCATAAAGGTGTCCACCACATTGGCATAAAGGTGTCCACCACATTGGCATAAAGGTGTCCACCACATTGGCATAAAGGTGTCCACCACATTGGCGTAAAGGTGTCCACCACATTGGCATAAAAACGTACGTGAGTAGCTGAAGGATAGCTTACCCTATCGCTGGACTTGCAGTGCTGGGTCAAACGAACTGACATTGCTTTGTTGGCCACCGAGATCCTCAGATCTAACCCCTTGTGATTTTTCTTATGGAGTTCTGTAAAAGGCAAAGTATTCGTGTTTCTTTCTCAAGGACTCACAGCAACTGAAGCAACGGGTAACTGGAGAGCTCAAAACACTAACAAAGGCTATTCCATCAGGTGCGCGACAGGTATGGAATACCGCGGAGATATTTGCCGTGTCACCAGATGGGCATACACAGAGTATCTACAGAGACTTGTATAACTATGGTTTCAGTGTAAATTTGATTTATCAAAACTAATTAGTTACTGAGTTCACAGGTATGCTTTCCTTTTGTGTTTACTTTTGGGGATACGATGTATATCTAGAATCAGTCTGTATGTAGCTGAATTAACACCACTTTGTGCACTAGTGGATATCCTGTGTACATTTAAAATAACTTATTTTTAATAATTACTAAATATCTGTCTAATTCTTTATAGGTGAAAGAACTCCGCGAGAAGATGAAGGATCTCGGTGTGGATAATGGAGAAAAAGTGAAAGAGTATCTGCGTAAAATCCGTGAAAAAGCAAAGGAAGCCTTGAAAAATATCCTTGAAAAACTGGGTCTTGGTACGTAACATTTCTCTTGAACAGGAATCTCTTAAAAAAAGTGCTTTTAATTATTTTGAAGTAACTTGCTTATTCCTTCAATAAGCTTCATTAAATGGAGTTGCTTTTCGTTTTTTTATTTAACAATTACTTAAATAAAGTGAATCATATTCTGCAAGTTAATGCAAAACACTTATAGTAGAAAAGCAATTTCTACAGTTTTTTTATGCTTTTCAAAATATTTTGAAGTAACTTGTTTGTTCCTTCAATAAGCTTCATTAAATGGAGTTGCTTTTCGTTTTTTTATTTTAACAATTACTTAAATAAAGTGAATCATATTCTGCAAGTTAATGCAAAACACTTATAGTAGAAAAGCAATTTCTACAGTTTTTTTTATGCTTTTCAAAATATTTTGAAGTAACTTGTTTGTTCCTTCAATAAGCTTCATTAAATGGAGTTGCTTTTTTTCGTTTTTTTATTTAACAATTACTTAAATAAAGTGAATCATATTCTGCAAGTTAATGCAAAACACTTATAGTAGAAAAGCAATTTCTACAGTTTTTTTTATGCTTTTCAAAATATTTTGAAGTAACTTGTTTGTTCCTTCAATAAGCTTTCATTAAATGGAGTTTGCTTTTCGTTTTTTTATTTAACAATTACTTAAATAAAGTGAATCATATTCTGCAAGTTAATGCAAAACGCTTATAGTAGAAAAGCAATTTCTACACAGTTTTTTTTATGCTTTTCAAAATATTTTGAAGTAACTTGTTTGTTCCTTCAATAAGCTTCATTAAATGGAGTTGCTTTTCGTTTTTTTATTTAACAATTACTTAAATAAAGTGAATCATATTCTGCAAGTTAATGCAAAACGCTTATAGTAGAAAAGCAATTTCTACAGTTTTTTTATGCTTTTCAAAATATTTTGAAGTAACTTGTTTGTTCCTTCAATAAGCTTCATTAAATGGAGTTGCTTTTCGTTTTTTTATTTAACAATTACTTAAATAAAGTGAATCATATTCTGCAAGTTAATGCAAAACGCTTATAGTAGAAAAGCAATTTCTACAGTTTTTTTATGCTTTTCAAAATATTTTGAAGTAACTTGTTTGTTCCTTCAATAAGCTTCATTAAATGGAGTTGCTTTTCGTTTTTTTATTTAACAATTACTTAAATAAAGTGAATCATATTCTGCAAGTTAATGCAAAACGCTTATAGTAGAAAAGCAATTTCTACAGTTTTTTTATGCTTTTCAAAATATTTTGAAGTAACTTGTTTGTTCCTGCAGAGCTTCATTAAATGGAATTACTTTTTGATTTTCTTTCCAAATTCGTGCGGGAAATTATGATTTACGCCAGCAGAACGCTTTTGTCTACCTCTCATTTGCGCCCTGTACCACTTAAACCCACCATTCCAACACACATATTCCATTTCAAAATCTGTTTATATCAGCTTCTTCTACTTGCCTTTTTATTAGTGCCAGATATTTTTGAATCATACCGAAAACAGTTACCTTTTTGCCCAATTTTAAACTTCACACTGCCGTGTTCCTTTCTAACTGCATATGATTTGGCCTAGTAGTATCTGTTGTTCAACAATGTTTCCAGATAACTCTTAATCCACTCATTTATATTCATAGGCAAAAGGAACATGGATGACTCTATGGATCAGCTTGCTCGTATGAAATTCCGAGAGTTGGTTGAGAAGATTAGAGAAAAGGTGAGAGACGAACTCAGTTTTATTATTCTTATATGTTGGTAAATTGTACCTTTTTTTGCTTTAAAAGTGATTGAATTATGTTGTTCTTATGTTAGGCTGCGTTCAGACAACAACGTAAATGTCACAGAGGTATACTCACAAGGAATAAATGCGGGAATTCCGTTCACACCTGCGACACAGGGTCTAAGCCGCACTCACTTATAAGAAGCTAAATTTGCGCATACTTGAATTTGTGTCTACAGCTTTCCCGCTCTGTTTTCCAGTTAGGTTTCATGCGTTCGCTCTGATTGGTCGACTCTAATACGTAGTCGGCATAAAGTTGAAAACTTCGAACTCCGAAACCTAAACCAGATTTTGTGATTTAGCGCAGACTGGTTGCCTGGCAACGCAGCTCGGCTTAAACCACTTATGCCCTTTATATCATCGTCTGAACGCAGCTAGCTGTATGGTTATGGTTTTTATGCCTTTAGTTAATCTGCATGCAGTAGTTGTAGAATTAACAAGAATTTAAAAGTTCAAGCCAAACGTGGCAGCGATTTGTTTGAAATTTGAAACTTTTAGTAGAATAGTGAATTAAGTCAGTTTGTGCACCAACTTCAATGTCTTTTTACCGGGTGGTACCAAAATTAAACTTTCAATTTTGTGCATCGAGAACTTTGTTTTCGTACTCTCCGGTCGAACCGCTTGTTTTTGCTTAGAAACGCTAATCTTAATTGTAAAAAATGTTTTTTTAAACTGTTTTAACTGTGTTTCGTGTTTTTTAAATACGTGTAGAGCATGTAAAAATATTCTTAATTGTAAAAATTGTTTTTTAAACTGTTTTAACTGTATTTCGTGTTTTTTTAATATGTGTAGAGCATGTAAAAATATTCTTAATTGTAAAAAATGTTTTTTTATCTGTTTTAACTGTATCTAGTGTTTTCTGTCTTTCTATATTTTTCAATTTTTACTGAAGATGTTTTGAGTTTTTATGCATTTTTACCTTGTCGCGATTTGGGAACTGAATTAATTGAATGAGAAATATATCTCTAATGAAATTCGATGAAATAAGTTTAAATGAAATGCAACAACAAATGTGCATAATTTAACAGACCATCCAAAGAAGTCTTGAAGTGTCAACATCAGATTTTTTTGTAAACGGTTTATGCATTTTTGCACATGCGCAGAAGCATCGTAGGGATCAGCTTAATGTGGGTAGAGCATAAATGAAACACTATTTAGTCAAGCAGTGATTTTTAGTATTGCATATATTTAAAAAATAACTAAAAAATTAATTTTTATTTGTTTTTTGATTTATCTTAGAAGACCGAAATATTATTAAATTTTTCGACGCCAAGCCATTTGAGAAAACAAATTTTCGTATCATTCCTATTAATTTTCCGAATATATGCAAAATAAAAGAATGCGTGTGCAACTAAATCAAATCCATTTACTAATTATTAAAACTGACTTGTATTTTTCATACATTGTTAGTAAAATGAGCTTATCAATTTAATAAATATTAGACTGTACTTTCTTAAAATTTTTGTCTTTATTTTAGTAATAAAATTTCCCTTTTCTTAGCTCTTGTCTAATGAAACGATCCAGAAAATCAGGGAATACATCAAGAACCATCTAGGCCAAAGCCCAGTAAGTTTGTAATTCTTTAATATAAAATTTATTTGATTTTGTAAAGCATATATTTTCAGTTACTTTTTACCCATACCAATACCATCTTCAGTTATTATTGTTTTATCGTGTCAAGAGCGATGTTATAAGTTCTCATAAGATAACAGACGTAAATGAATATACAAAGAATTGGGGCTGGCAGTATCCGAAGCATGGAAGCAGTGAGAAGGAAACTTTCGTCGGTATACTGGCTTGCAGCAGGAGATATTTTTCCTGCTCTCACCAGTACCTTAGAGATTCCCGTTTAGGTCCTGACCTTTGTGAAATCGGCAGTTAAATACATCCTAAGGTGAATTTTTCGGGGAAAATGTTTTGAACACTTTGTCTCTTGAAAGCAGATCGGGTCTTGGAAGCTAGGCAGGTGAGTTTCTTCGACAAATCCCGAGATGTGGGCTTATTTGCAAACTATATACAACGACTACTCAAAATGCACAGAAAATTACGTTTCATATGATGGAGACGAGAAAGAGTTTTTCAGAGTCATAAATTTGAGGAAATACAGAAAATTGTCATCTCACAGAAGTATTGTGTTGTCATTGGCTATCATGGTAGTTACGTTTTAAAGAAGGAAAATATTGTTATATATTCGTTTTTAACAGTAAAAGTGCTTCCTAGCAAAAATTTAAACGTAAATTTTAATGGAGAATTACATAATTAGAAATTTTTTATCGCAAAGTAATTAAAACCTTGTTTCATTTTAAAAAAATTAATCATATTTGCTCAACAATATTGCTTAAAATATTTTCTTTTGGGTAATTAATACCGTTCTTTAAAAATTTAACTTTCCTTTCTCATTTTTAACTTTCCTTTATTAAGTCATTTTATTAACAGCTATGAAAATGATAGTTTCATTATTTTTTTTAATTAATGAATTATATTGTTGCGAAATTCGCAGCTGCGATAGCTTCCCTCCAAAGCGGAGTTAGTGTTGCCAGAATGTAGCAGGTAAAGGCAGAGTTGCTACATTTAGAGCGAAATCGCCCGTTTGGCGTGAAGTATTTATATTTGCCATCAAAAGTAGGGATATACCATAGACGGAGCGAGAACAATCTAGAACGCAGTCTTAGCAGTTATCTCTGGAATATTCTCGAAGGTAGGGCAAAACTATACATACCCTGCCTGTACGCGTAGGTAGCAGTTATCTCTGGAATATTCTCGAAGGTAGGGCAAAACTATACATACCCTGCCTGTACGCGTAGGTAGTGTCTTGAGTAGTAGAGTAGGTAGTGTCTTGCGTTCAGAGATTAGCTTGAGAGCTATCGACTGAGTCGGGAGCTGTGCTTTAGTGCTTCGCCGAGAAGCTGTCTTCACCGTTATAGCCTGAAGGCTGTGTTGCTGATTGTTTCAGCGTGTTTATCGTAGTTTTCCGATGGCTGTAAACGTGTCTTTTGTGTAATACTGGCAAATATATTGTGTTTTGATTCTTCATCAATTGTTATCATCAATTACTCCAAATCCATGAACCCGTAGAATGCAACAATATCAAAGCACTGTTTTGAAAATTATTTCAGCGCTTATCTAAAGATCTAATAAATATTTTATGAAATAATGCAAGTAATAACAACATAAGTTTTAAAAATGACTTGTTGAATTTTGAAATCGTATAATTTCCAAATTGCTGATCGGATGTATATTTAATATTCACGTGACGAAGGAATATAGCTCCATTTTCAAATTGTATCACCCAACTTTTTTGGGACTTTTCTTGAAGCAAATACAAGTTCTGTTTTCAAGTCAGCGAATTTAGAGAAGAAAATATTTTATATTTTAGAATATGCATACTGTTTACTTTTTTTTTTTTTTTTTGCTGTGAGACATGTTTTTTGAAAGCACTACGATTCAGATCCACGAAGCGACCAGAGCTTTCTATGATAGTGTCGAATAAATCAAGGATATTGATTGCCTATGTGAAATTAATAAACCTAGACGGATTTTTTTTTTGTCTTAAATAACAGTGTGAAGAGTACTTCATATTTCAATACAATACAAGTGTGGTTATTTCTTCAAATGAAAATTTATTCAAAAGTTTCCATAGTCCTAAGGCTAAAGTCATTAGCACATTGAGGTGTACCGCTTGAGCACATTGCTTGAAACTCGTTGAGCTAATAGGCATAAGGATATTATTTAGATGGTCACTACGGTCTCCGGACTTATGCCTAGTGGATGTAACCTTTGATAGCATAACACTATTTATGTGTCTTAGAGGAGCCCTAGGATCTAATTACAGATGATTTTATGACTATGACTAAATGTCACAACACGTGTGAACAGAATAGGAGTACCACGCTTGGACGAGTAAAGAGGAACACACTTTGAATATTTAAAGTGTTAAGATAATAGTTTGGAAGATTTTTATTTTATTTCATGTTATTTAAATTTTTTATTTGCAGTACTTAACGAAATACAGCGTTCTGAAGCCCGATCAATCATTTGTTAAAACCTTATACTTGAGCATATTTCTGCATTTTTTATAAGTAACAGAAGCTCCGATCCACATGGTAACGCGTTATTCTAACGCGTTACTTTATTGTTTTGAAGCAAGTCGGGAATCCACATTAATGTATTTAAATTAGTTATTACTCAACTGCTCATTTGCAAAAATTTTAAAAGAATATTTTAATTTTTTTTTTAAATTTGAGGACCAGCATATAAGAGCTAAATGGTCTTTAATTAAGGAACATCTGTAATAATTTACTTCCTTTAATTATAAAGATAAATTTATCATAAAATGTTTTACATCTTAGTAAAGAGTTCTTGACCATTAGCAGCTAAATTAATGAACTTTTTCATCTTTCAAGTAACTAAATATTGTATTTCAAGTATCTATAACTAACTATTGAAATTTTTTGTTATGAACACCATGGAACAGGGTATAATTTCCCCTTATCTCTAAACGTTTTGAGAAAAGTTTCTTTTGATTTTTTCTTCAAATTTTTCTTTATAAAATATTTAAAAATATTTTTGGTTAATTAACTCAGTTTATTTTGCATCATATTTATTTATGTTTGATCACGTTCATACAAACTTTTAGAGTTTTATTTTTCATTAAAACCAGGCCTTTAAACTTATTTGCTTATTTTTAATCTTAAATTATTATAATTAACTTCCAAACAATATTTCTTTTCTCACATATTAACTAACAGTATTTTTCACTATTAATTATAAAGCAAAGATTTAGCAAAAAAGGAAAAAAAAAAAAAAAAAGCAGAGGGGGGGGAAATGTTATTTATGTACTATTAAAAAAAAAGTTGCATTATGCTAATAAAGAATAATTACCCTGGAAAATGTTATTCAAGAAAGTGCCCAATGAAGCCTTTGGTCTGAAAATAAAATTCTTTTTAGACACATAAATGCTGGAATACGTCTTAAAACAAGGAAAATATGAATAAGCATAATAATAAAATACGATATATTATCGCTCTTGTTATTTTGACGAATATATTTTGTATGTATAAAATGCAGAAATCTGAAACATACTGCTGTCATACTATAATAATTTTAAAATAATGTTAAGTTTCACTTACTTGTACGAAGTAAAAAGGAAGTATTGTAATCGCGAAAAGTTTCAGGCAGCATATTTCAACGAAAATATCCATTTTGACCGCTATCGAATGCAATTTAACGATGTTTTTGCGTTATATCTGTACGTAAGAACAGAATAAAGGACTCGTTTTCCCCAAAAAAATTATAAAACTGCTTTAAAATTAATTCTGAAGAGAATTTTTCGTGGTGTATGTACGTACGTGCGTATCTCGCATAACTCAAAAACGAGTAGCCTCAAAACGTTGAAATTTTGTTTATAGGACTGCTGTAACATGTAGATGTGCACCTCGTATTTTGGTTGCAATCGGCCGCGCCAAACGTATATAAATATATTTATATGTATATCCACTCTGCTACCCGGCTCAGTGATCTTGGTTTCTTTACTCGTATGTGTTTGTAAATTGTACATTTTTGCTTTGAAAATGATTGAATTATGTTGTTTTTAACTTCCGGTTAAGGTTTTTATGCCTTTAGTAAATCTGTCTGCAATATTAGAATTATCAACAATTTTAAAGTTGTTTAAGTGCCGCTAAGCCTTTTGTTTTTATGGCGGCCATTGATTGTTTACATTTGAAACAGCAGACTAGTGGATTTGTTGCCAATCTAGAGAAACTTAGCTTCGCAGCAACAAACATAAAGTCTTCATTTATTATTGCCAATTAAATCATGCTTAATCCTTTCTCGAATGTTTTCGAGGAAATAAGTGTTTAAGATTTACTTCGTAAATTTTAATAGAGATATTTTATGTATTTTTGCCTTCTCGCGAAGTGAAAACTGAATTAATTGAATGAGAAATACTCAATCGTCTGTGAAAAACTGTTTTTTGTTTTGTTTTGTTTGCTTAATTTCTTTTATACATCATTCTCGCTTTATTATAGTATTTGAATAGAACATGTGGCAACGATTAGATAATTCTATTCTTTAAATGATATAAATTTTGTGCATTTGATATTCTGAGTTTATAATATGAACGAAATATAACGTACTGTTAAGTGAATCCAGTGGCAGAGTGTCGCTATGGTAAACAAATACTAGAGTGAATTTTAAAGAATGCATTTAATCTATTGTGGTTTATGCGCTGTCGGCGAAGTAGATTTAATTCAATCCAATAAGTTTAAATGAAATGCAAGAAAAATGCATATAATTTAATATTCCGTACAAGGAAGTCATGTGGTGTACACATGAGATTTTTTTATTTTATTTTTGTGTTTTACAATAACACAATCAATTCTTTTTAATTAGCTTGTTAAGAAACTGAAGGAACTCATTGAGAAACTGCGTGATGTCGATATCCGGGAAATCCTCAAACATCTATTCGAATACAAACCAGGACAAAAGATTGACAAGAGAGCCATGAGCGAGACCTGGGACAAGATCAGGAATTTCTTCAAGGACCTCAATGTCAAGATCCAAGAACACAGCAAGAGATTCGGTGAGTGGGTGAAAAACATGTGGAGCAAGGGTCTCGACAAACTCAAGGAGAAATACGGAACCGTCAAAGCTATTGCTATGGAGGTAAGATCTCCAAAACTTAGAATCTTCTCCTCAGAATACTTTTATTGCTGTTATTTGTTTGTTATTTATATTTGCGAACGAATGGAATTTGGCTGCAAAGATCAGTTTTCTAAGTGCATGTTTGTTTAGAAGTATATTTTCTATGTATAAACAAATTTCTACTATTAAAATTCAGAAACCGACTTATATATATACAGCGATATGCAGATACACAGAGGCTGTTCACACATTTTTTAGACAATGTATATTGTATTTACAAAACTAAATTACATAAAATTTTTCTGTTTTAAATGTTTTATTTGACATCCCTTATTCTGAACTATCTTTCGACACCTCAATTTCCAAGATAATAATGCCTTTTGAAGTGGCAGAAGGGATATTTTATCCCATTCCTACTGAACAGCTTTCCAGAGTCCTGTTAGGGTTTTTGGGACAACGTTTAGATAATGCAGTTTTTAACAGTCCGAAAACACAAAAATCCATAGGTGACACATCGGGAGATTTAGCAAGAATATCAGTGATACCAGATTTTTGTTCCATTTATTTTAGAAAATTTACAGTGGATTTTTGATGTGTGACTGCTAGCTTTGTCCTGATGGAGTCTCACAGATTGATGGCACTGTGGGTAAAGCGATGGTTTTCATTCGGAAAAATTGGCGATAAAATATATTCCTGATTGATAGTGTTTGGAGTTAATCTTGACATTTTTTTGCACTATCTTAATTTTTAACTTGCCATTATAAGAAAAACCAGCAACAATCATGAATCCCTTAGAAAAACTTTCTTTCGATTCTTTGAACCTTGTACTTAAATTTTTTCTCTCCTTTTATGATAATAAATGGCTCTTTTTAGTTACAATCATTTAAATACACCCATGCTTCATTTATTGTGACAATTGTTTTCCATTTTTCTTTGGATAAGTGTTTCTCATATAGAATTCTGCAGCGTGTCCTGCGTTGAGCGATATGCTTTGGAAGAAGACACATTGCGTTTTTTCGCTTTCTTAAGACTTCTTTCTTTTCCAATTTGACGTTTTTTTCCTTTCTTGTTGATAATATTACCTATCGACGCCTTAGATATCACAAAACCATGACTTTCACATCGTTTTTTGATAACGGAGTATGCATATTTCTCTTCGGAAAGAGCGTAAATGTAGCCTTCGAACCACTGCTTTGTTAAATTCGCCATTTTGAATAAAAACAAATTTTTCAAGCCACAGACGACAATTTTGACTTTTAAAAACATAGTACAATTGCAATTACTTCATTTGCAGCAAACTAGTTTTTATTACCGCTTACCAAAATCATCTAACAAATGTGAGAACAGCCTCTGTATATACACTAACTCTTTTTATTTAATGTTTCAAATAATTAACCCCTGATGAATTTATTTGAAGCTTTAAACTATGAATAATTAAAATGATATTAATCATTTATGGTTATAAATTTTTTAAAAAATTTAGGAACTTTTTCCTTCTAATTTTTTAATTTTTGTTTCTAATTTTTTAATTAGTGCTCATATTTTAAAAGCGCTTATATTAAAATATATTTAAAGTACTTTGTTTCTATTGCTTAAATATTTCTTGCTATTTTTTTCTTTTTCAGTTACACTAGTTTTCACAATTTACAGGATAATATAATATTTTGAGTAAAACATTTTTTAGTAAAATTAATATTTCAGTCTAAGCTGCTAAAACGCTAAGTGTTATAATTTTAAGCCCTAATTTCTACAATTTATATATATATATATATATTTAAACAAATTTAAATTCTTAACAAATACGTATAAAAGTAAAAAAGTAAAAAAGCAAATTTAAATTCTAAAAAAGAAAAAAGCCAAAATAATTTAAAAATATGCAAAAACATTAAAAGATTTAATTCTCGAACTAATCTACAATATCATTTAAATTCATAAGCATAAGCAAATCAAGTGCAAAATCTATCCATGAAAATAAATCTACTAATTTAATAAATTAAAATTAAATTAAACATTTTTTTTAAAAAATGCATATGTGAATGATCGCAGAGTAGGCAGGAGACAGACTTATCAAGGGGAAGTTGCCTCCAAACCTAACTCTCCAATCATTCAATTCGTGTTTCGTCATTCATGCAGGCAAGGGTAAAAGTCAAAACCAAAAGTAATTCCAATAAAGTGGTACCCTTAGAATTTAACATTTAAGTATTAACATTTAAGAATTAAAGTTCAAAAAGGAAAATACTAATTAAGTCTTTTGAGAAACAAGCAAGTAAAGTCAATTAAACTTTTTCTTAAAAAATTAAATTTTTAAAAATTAATTTTTTATAAAATAATAAAAAAATCTAGAAACCAATGTATTTTAGAAATCCTTGTCTACAGAAACTTCCCCTACACGAATATGCATACCATTAAAAAGAAACTATAAAAGAACTATACATAATCCATATAAACCAATAAGAAATAAAAAACAAAAGAAACAAAAGAACTAATTCACAATTTTTAAAATAATATATATATTTAAAATATAATTTCATATTTAGAAAATACTTAGATACTACATAAAAAATCTTTTAAAAAATACTTAAAGCAAGTAAATAGTAAGTTTTAATTCTAACTTACCTACTATATGAGTGTTGGGGTCTGCAAAAGTGTTGTGAAAGAGAAGTAAGTGTGTTCTTCAAATTATATAGATGGCGCTTATGTAGGTAAAGTTGAGTGTCAAGCTGCTATCTTTGTTATAGTACAAAATTTTTTGTAAATATTAATTAAATTAAATTAAATTAAAAATCCTAAAGGTAGTAATATCAATTATTTAGAGAGTTAAGTAACTGAGCCAATCAAGAGATGTATGTTTGCTTGAAGGAAATTAAATTGTTTATAAGAATAAATTGAGTTTAATTAAAAAATTAAATTTAAATACATATTTAATTAAATATTCTTTGCGCCATTGCTGCAAGGAATGAAATTTAAATTTAAACAAATTTAAATTCTTAACAAATACGTAAATTAAATATGTATTTAAATTTAATTTTTTTAATTAAACTCAATTTATTCTTATGAAACAATATATATATATATATTATATATTTACTAAAGAAATATTCATTATATTATCTCCTAATATAAATTTAGTAAAAGTATCAAAAAGAGTGAACCCATATGTAGGAAGTTTAATTCCGAAAATTGTGTTTTAAAGTAACTTGGATGTAAATTATTAAAAATGTTTTACGGGGACTTGAAATGAATCATGAGTAACTAAATTTCAAACTTTGAAAAAGAAATTAAATTAAAAGCAAGTAATTATCGCTTTAAATAATAATGTTGTAATAATTCGTAGTAGTTAATTAAATAATAAAGTTGTTAATTAATTACTTTATTATGAATTTATTTGGATTATGTTTATATGAATACTTAAAAGAATATTGTTACGAAATGTCCAGGCGCGGTAAGATAGCTTTTCCGCCAACCAGTTTTAGGGTTGCCATAAAATGGCAAAGGAAGAAAGGGTTTCCACATTTGGCGAAAAATGAAAATACTGGAAACTATTATAAATATAGTTTGCAATGTTTAATGACTTTATTTTTATAACCTCACATTTATTTACCTACTTACTTCTAATGTATCAATATGATCAGAGTACTATTCTGATTAGGAACAGTACAATCCAACTATATACTTATTCATCCTTGCTCTAACATTACAAAATATATTTATACTTTACAGTAGCAGAACACAACTACACCTGCATTACTAAAGCTCTGATACATACTGTTCAATTAACTTCTAACCCGTAGTGCTTAGTTTCGCCGATATCTTAGTATTGAAACTACCGTTCCGCAAAATATTGTTACATTATTTTTCTTCTTTTCACGTTCGTAAGCACGGGTTCGTGTGGATTTGGAGTGAATAAGACAACAGCGCTTATCAAAACAGCTCCAGTACGATGTTTACACAGTCGTCGAAGAACTATAATAAACACGCTGACACAATCAGCGACACAGCCTTCACACCATCAGACTATAACGGTGGAGACAGCTTCACGGCAAAGCACCAGAGTACAGTTCCCGACTCTTCTAGGTCGTTCTCGGAACTCCGCGTACTCTCCAGACTCTCCACGCTGCTACTCGCGATGCACTCAACGATACACAGCTCCCGACTCCTCGGTTCAGTCGTTCCCGGAGCTCAACACACTCTCTCGACGATGCACGAACCCCGATACACGAAGAACCTCTTTCGGTGCACTCGGCACTTGATGGACTCCACACGGACTAACTCCGCGTACCAGCAGGATTTATATAGCTTTTCGCTTGTGTTCGAGAACATTCTGAGCTAAACCTGTAACAATTCATTCCAGAAGGCTCTCCAGCCGTGTATGGCCTATCGTCAATTTTGTCGCCAAATGGGTGATTTCTCGCCAAATATAGAAACCCTTTCTTCATTTGCCATTTTATGGCAACCCTAAAACTGGTTGACGGGAAAGCTATCTTACCGCGCCTGGACATTTCGTAACAATATTCTTTTAAGTATTCATATAAACATAACTCAATAATTCGTGTAATCTTAAATAATTTAAATTTGCTAAATAACTTGAATGTGGTTATATTATCTGCTATCTCACTAGTCTAGCTGAAAGTCTATATATTTCGTAGGAAATCTTCTGCGGTCCTTTTACTTTCGCTGATCTTTATTGGCCATTAGGTAATGAAACATGCATACTTCTGTAGTTCATGACGACCTCTGGGTACAATTTACTTTCGCAGGCCATGGTCGTTATCTTGACATCTAACAAAATTCCTATCTTAATGAGATCTAATAGAAAGGAATTCCCTGCTGTTAAAATGCATTTTATCCCAGAGAAATGAGTTTATACGAAGGCAGGCATTAGATAAAATAGCTGAGAGTGACAAACGTGAAAACTTTCGTGCAGTAACGAAAGCGATATTGTATTACCCATTTATGTCTCTCATGTGGCAAAATCAATTAATTATAAGCTTCACTACGAGCATTATAAGAAGGACTAGAGA